GTGGAAAGCATGCGAGTGGTTAGCAGCCGGATCCATGGCCTTAAATAAGCCTGTTCACTCTTCTGGACCCCATTCCTCCCTGTGAAAGAAGACATCCTAACGCTGTTGCTGCAGCCACCACGTCCTTCCCTCGCTTGACAGCTTCGTTATAACAGTTTTTCCAAGGAGCCTCTTGGTCAAGCCGGTTGAGATGAGTCACTCTGTCACTTAGTGCCTCACTCGCAGTGCAGACGCGGTGAGGAGGTGGCGGCAGCCAGGGCCTTCTGGGGACGCGGCTGTGGGCACTCTTGGACCCAAGAGAAACTCATGCTGGGGGTTCCCACCATTACCAGGCTGAGTTTGTTATTCCTCAGAATTAGTTCTCCGTGAGGAACTGTGAAACGTCTGTTTGAAGAACTGTGGGCTTTGAGTAGATACAGCTTTCGTTTTCTGGGCCTTTTTCCATCTACCTTCCTCGTCTTGACTTTTTAACTCTGCCTTGGTGACAGGAGTTAGACCAGATGTGCCCCCTACCCCGTGCCTGGCGGGGTCCAAAGGGAGTACCTGGAGGACAGCCTGAGGGATGAGTGCTGGGGGTGGGGGGGAGGTGCAGGGAGGCAGAGGGTGAGGGCTGGGCCATTTCCAGGACCTGCTGGAACCCAGAGTGCACCCTTCTGAGATCTAAATGTCCCCTGCTCTAACTGCAGCCAGTGCTTGCTGGCCTCAAGTCATGAATCTTAGAGTCTCGGGGACAGTATGCCAGTGTACTAAGAACAACACCTTAGGGTGACCCTCCATGGAAACTTCTGTACTTCTCTGTCTCTCTGGGCTCTCTCCTGAAAGGCCGCGGGTCTGTGCCCAGAGCCTGCTGACCACTGAGGACATGATCAGCTCCATGGCTCTCACCCTCTCGGAGCCAAGCTGTCTGCCAGGGAGCTGGGCCTTTCACTCGGGCTGACGGTGCCCGTGTCACCGGTCATGTGGCAGCCACTGCTGCGTGAGCCTCGTGATGGGAGTGGACAGGCAGGCACTTGAAGGATGGACTCACTGGGTCAGTCCTTAACCACATACGTGAACGCTCTCGTGGGGAACATCTGCTGACAGTTGCGATTTCCAACGTTACTGGCTTGTATCGTATCTAATTTACTTGTATGAGTTCTTATCATAAGGTGAGGCTCCCTCGTCGGAGCTCAGAAAGGCTGGGTCCCGTAAGCTCGTGGGTCAGTACTGCACCCTGTGTCAGGGTCAGCCCTCCGCCAGAATACGGTCAGCAGAGTGCCTCAGGGAAGAACCGGGGCTGGGTGTTCCCAGCATTTGGTATTTTGGCTAAAGACTGATAAGGAAAAAACCCTAAAAGTTTCTATAAATGTAGTTGCCTTTTAAAAAGTGGTATAATTAAATTTTTTTTAAAAAGAGACTTCGGTCTTTATTAGCAAGCCCTGCCCGCGGCCCTCCCGCCCCAGCCCAGCCCAGGCACACGGCGTGATGGGAGAGGGACCGGCGGTCCTACTTACAATGTGGCACCAGCTGGACTGTGGGCAGAGTCTGGACAATCTGGATGGAGGGTAGGCCCTGCGCCATCATGCCTCCCAGGGCGGCTCCTGAGGAGAAAACAGTAGAATTAATTTTGAGCACTTTTTATTTGGCACAGAAGGGGGAATCCTGCTGTGGTTTTCCTTTCTACAGGAGCGAGGCCGCGGGGCCTCTCCCGTGATGCCTTCTCTTCAGTGCCAGGGGCTTGGTTTCCGTGGCTTCTCTGAACCAATTTGGTCGCTTAAAACAGCAGAAGCGAGCCGAAACCGGCTTGGCTCAGTGGATAGAGCGTCGGCCTGCGGACTGAAGGGTCCCAGGTTCGATTCCGGTGAAGGGCATGTACCTGGGTTGCGGGCACATCCCCAGTAGGAGATGTGCAGGAGGCAGCTGATCGATGTTTCTCTCTCATCGATGTTTCTAACTCTCTCTCTCCCTTCCTCTCTGTAAAAACTCAATAAAATATATTAAAAAAAAAAAACAGCAGAAGCGTATCGGCTCGTAGCCCTAGAGTCTGGAGTCTGAAGTCGAGGTCCTCCTGATGGGCCGCACTCCCCCTGGAGCCCAGGGAGGTGTCGTTCTTCGCCTCTTCCAGCTCTGGGGCCCGTCAGCCTCTGTGGACACGTTGCCGCCTCCTCTTCTGTCTGTGTCACCCCCCCGTCCCCTCCTGTCTCCTGTGAGGACACTTGTCATGGGATGTAGGGCCCACTTAGGTAATGCAGTGTGCCATCTCAGGACCCTATTCTATCTGCAAAGACCCCTTTCCAGTTGGGTCCCTGCACAGGCTCGGAGATTGGGACATGGACCTATTTGGGGCACCATCCAGCACACTCCAGCGGTGGGAGGTTGATGTATGGGCGTGTACAGGGGCAGCGTGTGCAGGTGGGGGGCAGCCGTGTGCAGCACCCCCCGGCCGGGCCTCCTCCATGTCCTGCAGGTCTGGGCAGGGTCTGCCTGCAGCCTGCAGGGACGACTGGGCGATTCTGGATGCCTGGGAGTCAATCGAATGTGCAGAAAATGTGACTTTCTGTGCAGTTGAAGCCCATTCTTTGATTCAACAAATGTTGGTGCCCAGTGCTGTTCTAGGTGTTGGGCCGCCAGGGAATACATACCCAGCACGACTGGGAAATTCTGAGCCTTTCGGGATTGGGTGTGTGGCTGATAAATGAAATCAATTATGGTCTTTCCTGTTATCTCTAAGCATTTAGGGTTTTCAGCATAAAATTAAATTATATAATTTTGGGGATTATACATGTTGTTATTTCTGAGTTACATAAGTGTTAGAGGATGTAGGACAGAATAGTGGAAGGTAGGATGGGGGTTTATTACGAGCATCATCGCCGCCCAGCCGTTTGTTGAAATCCAGGCAGGAGTGGGCTGACACACGCATGCACACGCGCACACACGCGCGAACACACACACACACACACGAAGCGTGTCACCTGCCTGGCTCCCGGAGCAGGGCTCTGAGGGGAAGGGGTCGCAGTGGATTCTGAGCCCCAGCAGCAAGGTCAGCTCCTGGAGCCGTGGCAGGCAGAGGCGGTGACAGTTGCGCTATTTTGGGAGCGGAGGAGCTCTGTCGTGGGCCTGCTTTGCAGTCCCGGGCTGAACTCTGGCCCCGGCAGCCGGCAGCCACTGTGCCTTCGATGCAGAGCAGCGTCGGTCGGTGCAGTGGCCGTCATAGCGCTCTCCCCCGTTTGCTGAAATCAGGTGTTTTCCTTGGAGATGGCTGGGCATTACCAAGGAGAGGTGGCTGCTCGGTGAGGAAGCCCCAGCCTGCTGCCTGCCTGTCTCTGTAGCAGTGTCTCTGGACTGTAACGAGTTACATCATAAAGCGATTGTATTTTCTTCCTTCAGCTTAGAACAAGTTGTTACTTCGGTAATATTCTGTGTCTTCACAACAGAAGGAAATGGACATGAGCCGCAGGAGAGGGAATGGGTTAAATATAGAGAATAATTTTCCCATTGATGTCCTGAGGAGCATCAGACACTCACGTAGCCTACTTTGCCTGTTTAGGGAGAGGAAAGACCCGTCCACCTGGGGGTCAGTGCAGCTCTGCGTGGGGCCAGGTGCTGGACATGGTTTTCCAGACGAGTCTGGGTATCCCCCATGCTGTGTCTTGGGGAGCTGACAGACTGCGTGGGGTTTTCAGGGATATTCCGCTCTCCATGGCTTCATCCAGTTCCTTCTAGAGGCCCCAGGAGAAGAGAAAAGAAGAGACGGGTCACTCCAGGATGTTTCTGTTGGTGGGTCTCTCCAGGGACGGTTCTCTCAGCGTAGTCTTGAATCATGCCAGTCTATTCTCGGAGCTCCTGGACTTAGGAGCTCGCTGGACATTTGAGGAAGTCCCTGAGGTCAGACTTAACAGGCAGGCCCCCCAGTCCTGCTAGTTCAAAGACATTTTTAACCAACTGCCTCCCCCTAAGATACTGAGGTGGGGTTGGCAGTGCTGGGTGAGGAGGAGGCCAGTGTGTGCTTTTTCCTGGGGAGTTGCTATTTGTTAGACTGTCGGCTTAAAAACAACAGTACCAGCACGGTCCCACCATTTATCTCCTTTCTTCCTCCCACAATCCCGTGAGGCAGGTGGTCCCCAGGCTGTAGATGAGGGCATGGCCCAGCTCCTCCTCACTGAGGGACACGCGTTGGCAGAGCTGGACGCAGACCTGGGCCTGCCTGCCCCTGGGCTGGTCCTGAGCAGTGCACGGCCTGCCTGTGGGCATCGGCACGACCCGCCAGCGGCCTCATTACTGCCTGTGATGGCCCTGGAGATCGACATCCCAGATCACCTGTAGACAGACGGGCTGCTGGTGCTTCTCTGAGACGCCTCACGGTGTTCTTGTAGAAATACTGGGACGGACTTGATGTTCATAAACCCAGAGACTGACACCGGAAAGGAGGAGCACCAACGTTGTGCTCGGGGAGACAGAAAAGGAGGAGAGCGAGAGGAGGGGGAGAGGTTTTCTCCCGTGGGAGCCGCACCAGCCGGGTGCATGCTAGGCCCTAGAGCGCGGCTGCCATCGCCTTCAAAGGGCAGAGAATGATTTTGGAAGAAGGGCTTCTAGAGGCTCTGGCGGCACGGCGCTTGGAGCGGAGGCTCGCGGCTGTTCTCCTCTCAGCGCCAAAGGCACCTTGCCGCCAGGCGAGACGCAGCGCCAGCGCTCAGAGCAGGCCAGGGCTCCGTGGACATCCTGACACGGGAGCTGTTACCTGGGCAGAGCGTGCGGACCGCTGGGGCACTTTCTTCTCCCTGAACTTCGCTGCCTTTTTGAAAAGTGCCCCGTCATCTCTTCACTTGAGTCTTTCTGCACAGTTCATGGTGTGGTGCTCTGCAGTGAGCAGTAATCTATTACACGTCTTTATGAATCACACATTTTAACTGAAATAGCTATCTACTTTTAAAACAAAGAATTAAGAGAAGGGTGGCATTGCTTTACGGTTTTACACATCTCTGTGAATGTCTGGATGCGATCTATTGGGATGCGTATTCGATATGACGACGACCTGGCTCACAGAGCTGCACATGGAAGAGGGAGGCGTGCTCCGCAGCCGCTCAGCCGTGAGGGCCCTGTCCTGGGTGCTGGACTCGAGGCCTAGGGAGCAGCTTCTTACCTGAGTGGCACGTGGGCTCTGACACCGTGTCGGGAGCCTTTCTGACTTGGTGACGTCAGACCCAGAGTCTGACTTGCACTCTGAGTGGGTCTCCCCGGTCTGCGCGGCAGAGCGCAGTGAGTGCTGGCCGGTGAACGATGGGCTTCCCTTTGCAGGCCTGCATTGACGAGAACTTCGACATGGTGAAGTTCCTGGTGGAGAACAGAGCCGACGTGAACCGGCAGGACAACGAGGGCTGGACGCCCCTGCACGCGGCGGCGTCCTGCGGCTACCTGAACATCGCCGAGTGAGTCCGCACTCTGAGGAGCTGCGCTCCTCCGACAGCGCTCTCCATCACCATCACAAAGGCCGCGATCAGGGAGCGAGGAGGGCAGGGGCTTTCTTTCCTCCGGGAAATGCGTGTTGAGCTAATGGGCATGTCTGGGCTTCTGGGCAGCTGTAAGGATTCTTAGGGGTAAAGTAAATATTACTTCAAGGATAAGTGTGAAACTAAACAGGTTTTTATTTTTTATTCTAAAAATGGTTTGGGCCCTGACCAGTGTTGCTCAGGGGTTAGAGCGCCAGCCTGTGGACTGAAGGGTCTTGGGTTCAATTCCTGGTCAAGGGCACGTGCCTCAGTTATAGGTTCGATCCCTGGCCCCGGGGCCAGAGGCAACCAACTGATGTGTCTCTCTCTGGTTGATGTTTCTCAGCCGAAAGGAAGGGGAAGTGTTGGCAGTGGGAGGGACTGAGGGGGCAGCGAGGACCTCCTGATGGTGAGAGCAGCAAAGGCCTCAGGAGCCAGCACCTTGTAAATGACGTAAATGTCTACTGAATTGCTGAAGGCAGACGTCTGACTTAGGAGGTGTCCTTCTCCTTCAAATGCTTGTGAGCAGTTTGTAGAGCTCTGAGCATGAGTGGGGTTCACTGGCCCAGGAGCACCTGATCTTGTGAAAGATGAACTAGACGTGAAGTCACATGACCGGAGCCGTAACCTCGGCCACTTGCTGCCTCTGTGACCCTAAGAAAATCAGTCGGCGCGTGAGCCCAGTTTCTCACACGGGCCTCACTCCGCTTCGAGTCTCGCGCATGAGGGTGAAAGCATGTGACAGGTGGTGTTAACACTGGTCTCGTCTGCACAGGTACTTCCTCAGCCACGGAGCCAGCGTGAGCATCGTCAACAGCGAAGGGGAGGTGCCCTCCGACCTGGCAGAGGAGCCGGCCATGAAGGACCTTCTTCTGGAGCAAGTGAAGAAGCAAGGTAACCGGGCTCAGACACGGCACCAGGAGCCACGTGGTCAAGGGACAGGGCCACCTGTGTGTGCAGCGTTCATTGTTGGTCAGACGTCCAGTGAGACGCGTCCACCCGCAGCTGGGCACGGGCGTCGGAAGTTAGCCATGATGGCACTGGCTTTGTGGACGTGGCTCATGGTGCCTTTCCCTCTTCCTGTTAAGCGGCCGTCACGGGGTCTGCGCTCCTTCCCTGGCGGAGCGCAGCGCCTTTCCCGGCGTGACCTTGGGAGGCCAGCGCTGTCCCTCCGCATGTTTGCAGATTGCCCAGAGCTGAGCATGTCTCATGTCGGCCCTTAGAGACCATGTGGGACCATGGCCCTGGGCCGTGAGTGTGAGCTGTCACTGCCTCCCTGTAGCTCTGCCCGTGGACCTGAGGGCGATGCTGAGTCTCCTGCCCAGAGAGGCTCTCAGGGCCTGGTGGCGGCTCCGATGTGCCCTGTGGCCTCTGTGTCTGTTCCCTCGTCTGTGCCAGGGGAGGTGTGTCTGTTATTTTTACCCCGAGGATGTTGGGGAACAGAAATGCTGTCCATGCGGAGACTCTGAAGGGGCTGTTCTGCACAGAGACCCTAACACAGACACAGCAGCACCTCTGGCCTTGGTGTGTCCTAATGGGCCGCCGTCACAGTCTTCCTGACGCTGTCACACTGTGGATCAGCGACTGCGAACGGAAGCGAATGGATGGGTGCCGGCCAGTGCTAACAGTGGCCTGTGGAGTGTTGAGGACGTGTTTGAGTCTAAGGGTGAGTGGCCGTGGTAACGCCGCGTCCTGTGTGGCTCCCACAGGGGTGGACCTGGAGCAGGCGCGGAAGGAGGAGGAGCAGCAGATGCTGCAGGACTCAAGGCAGTGGCTCAACAGCGGGAAGATCGAGGACACCAGGCAGGCTCGCTCGGGGGCCACCGCCCTGCACGTGGCAGCCGCCAAGGGCTACTCCGAGGTCCTCAGGTGTGTCAGCCATAGCCTCCATGGTCGGGAGGCGGGGACGAGTGAGACAGGCCTTGGACGTGGGGGATGAGGGTTCCCAGGTGGCGGGTTTCTCTGTGTTGTCTCCCCAACCTGCAGTCTTCCTTACGTTTGCTGGTGTTCACCATGGAAACCCAGCCCGCCGCCCCCAGCTCCTCGCTGCCTGTGAGACAGGAGCCTGGCCAGAGGCGGCCTCTCCCAGCCCGGGTGCAGCGTCACACCCCTGCAGCCGCCCCTCTGTCACACGTCAGGCGGGACAGATTTGAGGTTGTTTGGTCCGCTGGACACAGTTCTCTGGGCTCATTGGTCTGTGATACGCTCTGGAGTGTGGGCGTCCAGCTGCAGTCGATGGCCATCCGTCTGGACAGGCGGAGTTTGGGTCCTGCCCCCTGTGTCCACATGGCTTCAGTGGCTCTCAGGACGGCGTCACGATGTCAGACGCAGCTGACGCGGGTTTCTAGCTGCGGAGTCGTGCTCTGCTCACTCCTGGAGCCGTCTGGAGGCCCACGGGTTGGGGGCGGCCGTGCTATTTTCTCGGGAGGCAGGCCCCCCGGCCCCGGGCGCTTAGAGTAATGCCTGCTGTTCGTGAGAAGCCCTGCGGGCACTGGGCAGAGTGGGGGTGGGAGGGTCTGCAGCGAGCATGGGGTGCCCCAGAAGTGAACCAAAGCCGGTAGGTGAAGTGCCCCGAAGAGAGCCAAGCTCTCAGTTGAGGGGTCACTTCCCACCTGCAGACGTAGGAAGACTGCACGGTCGGGGAGACCACACGGAGAATCCCACCGGGAGACAGAACACCCCGGGGTGGCGTCGTGGTCTTGGCTCATGAGTTAGGCTTTGGCATCTCTCAGGTTCACTCGCTCCAGACACTCCCGTAGGCGGAACACGCATGTGCTGGGGCGCCCGTGTGCCTTCGGGTGGGTCCGTGTTGCCTGTGATTGGGCCGCCGTGTGTAACCAGCTGGTGCTGCGCTGAGGGGCAGGAGAGCCTCGCCCTGTGCCTCTGGGAGGGGAACGGGACGGCGGTACACGTGTCTGTCCGGGTTTCTCTCAGACTGCTGATTCAGGCTGGCTACGACCTGGACGTGCAGGACCATGACGGCTGGACGCCCCTCCACGCTGCCGCGCACTGGGGCGTGAAGGAGGCCTGCTCCATCCTGGCCGAGGCCCTCTGCAACATGGACGTCAGGAACAAGCTGGTGAGTCGGCTGGGCCCCTGTGAGGCAGCGAGACTGTGCCGGGCCTCGGAACAGCTGTCCGGAGTCCAGCCAGGGCGTGGAGACAGGTCGCCATGGCCATCATCAGCACAGGGTTTGTGAGCCCGAAGCTCTAGCCGCCTTCTGCTTCCACTGATGCTGAAGCCCCTAAACAAGCAAACGGGGTTTGGTTGAAATGTTACTTGCTTTGCTGTGTCTGCAGAACTTTAGGAATTTCCTGGCAGTCCAGAGGCACGGCCCGTTAGAGAGTGGGTGTGCCCATGGCCTCCCCATCTCCATGTCCGGTCTCTTCTCTGGTTGGGGGTTTGGGTCCTTGGCTGTGCTGGTGTTGCCTGGAGGAGTCGTGACGTTAGGGACGTGCTGGGCCCTCCTGAGGCTTCTGCGAGCCCCTGTGGGACCTGTCATACAGTCAGACCACTTAGGAGCAGGCCCAGGAAGTGTCCGAATGCTGGGGGCATTTCCTCACTGCTGTTTATAAAGTGTGCGCTCTCTCCACAAGGCCTTGCTGTTTCTCTGTGGTAGACGAAGGCCTGGTCGTAACGTCGGGCCGATGTGTGAGGGAAGCAGCTGGCGCTGGACGCAGAGGCAGGAGTGACTGCTGGAGATGGCTCTGGTGGAGTCTCGGGGTCACTCCTGTGTTTTCTCCTGGTCACGGTGCCCTCTCTCTGCCAGGGCCAGACGCCGTTCGATGTGGCTGATGAGGGTCTCGTGGAGCACCTGGAGATGCTCCAGAAGCAGCAGAGTGTGGTGAGTCCCAGGATGCTGAGAGGGGCCGGGGGACGCTGAGAGGGGCCGGGGGACGCGGAGAGGATCTGGGGGATGCAGAGAGGGCCCGGGGGACGCTGAGAGCTGTTGGGCAGCCTCCGTCCATGCCAGGCCTCTCCGTCACTGGCTCTGGTCAGGTCTGTGTCTGGAGAGGGCATGTTCCCCCCGGGCACTGTCAGCAGCCTGTTAGAAGGAAATAGCCCAGAAACCCTGGCTGTTAAAGGAGCGTGGTTTGCTCAGGTTCCCTCCTCCCCTGTGGTGTTGGTCTTGTCTTCTGGATGACAGGGCTATTTCGAGTTCTCATTTCTGCTGGTTTTTACCAAAGATCAGCCTCTTGGCTTTTCTCACTTTGCAGCTTCGAAGTGAAAAAGAGACGCGGAATAAGCTCATTGAGTCGGACCTGAACAGCAGATTGCAGGGCGGACTCTTTAAGAAGTAAGTTGTTGGGAGCCCGTGGGTGTGACACACTCAGTGTGAGGATTTGCACAATAAGAAAACTTTGATTTTAGCCCAGTGACTTTTGAACATGTGGGAACGTTTGAGGGCAGGGAGGGGCGTTGATACGTGGGGAGATGCTGAGGGTGGGGGAATGAATCCACATTGTGCAGCATTTCTTGGTCCCCAGCTCAGGGGTCCCAGGTCCCAACCACCACTCCGATGGGCTGTTCTGTGAGCTCAGGAACCACCACCCCAGAGCCATCAGGCTCCCTGGCGTCATAAGCACTGAGTAACTTGTTAAGTGATTTCTGTTTGCCTGCCCGGCAGCACCCAGGCCCATGGCCTCTTTTCTCTGTGTGTGAATGGCTAGAGCTCCTAAGTCACACTCCACAGCCAAACAGCAACCTTCCTGTGTCAAACAGGCCAGGACTCGGGGTGCAGGCTCAGAGGAGGGTCCGAGTGCCTTTCTGTTGCTGTGACCCAGGCCCGTCGGTGCGCTCCCCCGACACCTGTGAGTGCGCTTACATAGTTGTCGTTTCTGAATGACACTCACACTGTCTCCTATGGTTTAGCAAAGAGAAGATGCTGTATGAGGAGGAGACGCCCAAGTCCCACGAAACGGAGGAAGAAAGCAAGGAGTCCAGCAGCTCCAGCTCGGAGGAGGAGGGCGAAGATGAAGCGTCCGAGTCTGAGACTGAGAAGGAGGCAGGTAATGCGGATGTCCCTGCCAGGCCCTTTGTGTCCCAGTGCGAGGCGTGCGCTGTCCGGCGGAGCTGGAGTCCTCAGACAGGGCGGAGAGGGGCCGAGCTGCCCCTTTGCCAGGGAGAGCGCAGCGGTGGAGGCGGTGAGCTGAGCTAGAGCAGCTGTCCTGTAGTCGGGATCAGGTGCCCGAGAAGCCCTGTGTGAGGGGCCACCTCTCCGACGCTGGGTCTCGGGGAGCTTACGATCGGTGCCTCCTGTGTCCGTCCAGCGGGGAGACCCGTGAAGGGGAGTCTGGGTTCCCTGAGCTCGGCCCACGATGCAGGTTTAGCTGAGTTTATTTTCTTCTGGCAGCAGCTGCTAGAGATTTCATGAGTTTGAGGCCAAGCATGCCCAGCTCTGGTCTGGGTCACGGGTGAACCTGTTCTGTTAGCAGGAAAGCACATGCATGAAGATGAATTTTCACACGTGCACTTGTGCTTCCTGTGTCTTAAGCCACAGATCGGAAGCCGGAGGCTGTTGTCAACCATTCCAGCTCGGAAAGCAAGGGCCACGTCCTGGAGCAGACACCAGCCCCGGCTCAGACACCAGCCCCCTGCTCCAGGTCCAACCCAACTGGGGATTAATTTGGATATTATGTTTCCCCGACTGCAGTAACATACAAGGAGAAAGGCCTTTAGGATACGTTCTTGCAAAACAATAAAGATACATGGCTGCCCTAACAAAGTAGCAGACAGGTGCCTTTAAATTATGGTCATTCACTTCTCAGTCTGGAGGCGGGGGCCAAGGCCAAGGTGCCGGCAGATGCAGTTCCTGGTGAGGACCCCCCTCTTGGCTCAAAGGTGCCCCCTCATCTCAGGTCTGCGCTCCGCAGACAGGAGAGTCCGATTTGTCAGAGCAGCCCCAGGGCAGGTGTGTGGAGAGTCTGAGGCTCTTTCTGGCTCGGGGACAAAGGCAGCCTCAAGGGGAGCGTGGTGTCGGGAGAGAGGGCAGGGCACTGGCCCAGAGCCCATGGGCCTCCCTGGACTCCAGGGCGCAGAGGCAAGCGGCCCTTTCTTTCTCTTTCCTCCCCCTGTAGATCGCCAGCCTTTTTAACAAGCTGGAGGAGCCCAAAGACGAGTCGCCTTCCTCATGGCGCCTGGGACTCAGGAAGACTGGCAGCCACAACACATTGAGTGCCGTGGCCGACACCCGGGAGGCTGTGAGGGACCGGGGCTCCGCCCTCTCCCGCTCGGCGTCCAGCCCTCGCATCTCCGCTCTGCTGGACAACAGAGACAAGGTGCGCCCGGGCCGGGCAGCCGGCTCCCGTGGGCTGCGGCGCAGGCAGCTCACACGGGGGAAAGGCTCTGCGTCCCACTTCCCCCTCCGTGTGGTCAGGCCGCTCGTGGCTGACGGCCACGATGCGCACGGCTCCCTCTCTCACTCTTGGCCCAGCCCCTGGGCCTGGCCCTCGGAGCCCTGCCCCTCGGCTCGGGCTGCTGTCGGGCGGAGCAGTCCTGTGTCTCAGCTGCCACACGTGTCTCATCGTCCTGGCTTCCCAGCAGCATCCTTTCCCTGCGCGTGGGTTTAACATGGAGGGGCCTTGGGAATAAGCCTTGGAGAGCTACCCTTTGTAACATCTCTGGCTGCACGTGGGACTGAGCTGGGATGAGGTGGTGGGTGTGCTAGGGGCTGTGCATCCGAGGGTGGATCCTGTGTCTGTGGTCTACCCTGCGGTCACCGTCTCATCTTGCAGGAGAGGGAGAGCAGAAGCTACCTCAGCTCCCTGGCGTCCCGGAGGCTCAGCAGCACAAGTGACGCTGAGGAGAAGGAGAACAGGTAACTGTGAGGCTGCGGCAGCCGCCTCACGGGGCTCCTCCGGGCGAGCTCCATGGCGGGCACTGCAGCCCCTCGCCCCGGCCACCCCAGGGCAGCACTAGCAGGATTGCTCTTTCACAGACTTGATCAGCTCCTAGTTTGTCAGTAGGTGAAACCTCCATCCTCCTCATCAGTTACAGTGAAGGTGCCACCAAGTCTCAGGGGACCCTGCCCTAGAGCCTCTCTCAGGTGTGGTCCTCCCGGCAGCACCTGGGCACATGTCCGAGATGCAGACTCGGGCCCCACCCAGACCCGCTGAACTGGAAGCTCCGTTCCCACAACAGTCCAGGCGCCTCAGCTGCGTGGGAGCCGGGAGGGGCTCTGGAGACTTAGCTCTCGTAGCAAAGGCCGGAGGTGCCCGTGTGGTCAGACCGAGCCCCAGCCTCTCGGGGCACCGTTCACTGGTGATACCCGCGTGGCCACTGCAGGCCCTGCTCTTCCTTCTTTCCCTGCGACCTCTTCCTCCTCGGTCCCCTTCCGCCTCCTGCCGGGGGCAGGTTTGCAAAGCCTTGTAAGGGAGGAGCAGAGTCCTCGTAGGGAGAGCGGGAGGGGCCGTGCCCAGGGCTTGGCCGAAGGGGTTGGCTTTGCAGTTGCAAAGGGGCCGCAGGCGTGGCTCTCGCCCTCTGCATGGAGCACAGCACAGCCGGTCGGCGACCCTGCTGCTCCAGCCGCACAGGCGCTTCCTCGCTGCGGGTCTGGGCAGAAGCTGGCGGTGGGCGCACTGTGCTCTGGTTTTCCTTCTGCCTCAGGGAATCGGCTGTAAACCTGGTGAGAAGCGGCTCGTACACGCGGCAGCTGCGGAGGGATGAAGCCAAAGGGAGCGAGACGCCGCAGACCACGGCCCCTTCCACCTACGTGTCCACCTACCTGAGAAGGTACCAGGCTCATTAGGCGGAGGCGGCTGCTCACTCTGGCCACAGGCGTGTGGCCGTAGCTGCCCGTTTGTAGGTCACACCACAGACGTGAGTCGGGAAGTGAATCTCTGTAGACTTTGTGGGAGTAACATGTGACTCATTTGAAATTAGAATTAATTAATGTTCTTAGCTGAATTAAAGTAAGCCAACTCCAGAGTCTCACCACGGACTGCCCCCGGGTCCTGTGAGGTCGCCCGGAAGTGCCTGGAGCTCTGAGCCGGCCAGCCGGCGGCCCCGTGTAAAACGACAGCCACGCTCATTGTGAGGGAGGAGGGGACCCGCAGGTGGTGAGGGGTGGGGGACAGGGCGGGTTTGTGTGGCAGCAAAGATGTTTCACGTTGAAGCCTGTTGATGGAGGGACTTGAGTTGTTGTTTTCTTTTTATGACTTGAATGGCCATCAGATCCATCCAGACGTGAGACTCGCAAGCTTGGTGCAGAGAAGGTACCTGGGCTTCTCCCCTTCTCGTCTGCATTTCCTTCTCTGCCATGGTTTTCTCTGCCTGTACCGGCCAGCAAAGCACTTTGCCAGAGCCCTCGAGCTATAAGATCCACTTCTGTGTAGCTTCTGTAAGCTGTAAAATCTGATTCTCTTGCTCTCTCTGAACCTCTCTCCCACCCACACCTTCGGCTGCCTCTGCTGCTGCGACCCTCGCCAGCAGGTGGTTTAGGTGATGGATGGGCACCCAGACGCAGGCTTTGACCTGACACTCGGTCGGGGTCAGACTTCTGCTTGGTTGGGAGACTCTTGTCCACTGGGCAGTGTCAGGACATGAGCTATAGACGAGCAGCGCTGCTCAGACACCCTGCGAGGCGGCTCAGCCTGTGCTGGTCCCTGCGCTGCCTCCCACAGACTCCCTGTCCCCAGCGTCCCGGGGCCGCACCTCTGTCTTCAAGGCGGAGGTCAGTCTAGCTAGACGCGTCCTCCGTCATCACTGCTTACGCCTGCTCCCAGGAGACTGTCCTGAGAGGACAGTGTGGGCCCAGGGAGAGGAAGCTGCCGCAGCCGCCGGCCGGTCGTTATTCGTGGGGGCTGGTGTTCGCCATCCAGGTCCTCGGCCCAGGCTGAGTGACAGCACGGGTCTGACCCAGGTCGGAGGGCAAGCGGTGGCGGAAGAGCAAGGGCGCCTTGGGGCGGGAGCGGCTTCCTGCCGTGCGCACGCGCTGAGAGAAGACCTAGAACGAGCTTCCCATTTGGGATTTCAAGCTTTTCTCCTCCAACCCAAAAGCCCGTTTTGGCTTTACATCTTAGGATCTTTTCAAAAGTGAGGAATCTTGCAGCATCTCTGTGGGAAGAGCAGGCAGAGCAGACGCGGTCCTGGCCGTGCCGAGCTCAGCACCTTCCGGCTCGAGTCGCTCGTCTCATGGCAGAAAGCGCATCTTGCGTTCAGGAACTTCGTGTGGTCGCCCCCTAGTCTCATTCCTGCCACAGAAGGAAGGTTCTAGATGTAGCCAGGTCATTGCCGCCATCGAGGTGGCTCTCGCTCACGTTCGGCAGAAACAGAACCTGCCTGGTGTCGCCCACACAGTAGGTTTCTAGACTCACAGCTTCGAACCCACCCAGAGGGACTTTGTCCGCAGCTTCTGGAGGCTGGCCCCCTCTCTCGTCTGAAATCTCTGCTCCCGCTGTCCAGGCTCTTGGTCTCACTCAGCCCCTCGGAGCTGCTTCCGATGTGATTTCCCTTTTGGGCCTCCCCCACCATGTTCTCTCTCTGGCTGCACATGGCCTGTCCTCCACGCTCCTCCCTCCTTGGGTGGCTGGCAGGCCTGTTTGCTGCGTAGCCAGCGCTGGCTGGTCCTCCCTCTCCCCGAGCCGCGCCCTCTGTCCTCCTTCCTCTGGTGACGGGAGGAGGTGCTGGGCCGGGGGGGCGCTTGTCCCGAGGAACGTGATGTGTGTGTTTTTCAGTGCTTCCCTTGCACAGTAGTGGCCCCACACGTCCCTCCTTTCAGCCAATTGCAGTTCATCTCCTGCTGCCTCGCCCATTACCTGGCTCCGCACCTGTCGGGCAGCAGGTGGCGCCGCTTCTCCTTGCCCCGCGCCTGGCAGTGCGGACGCTGTGCACCTGCGCCCACCGCAGGTAAGGCTTCTGGAGCCACTCGGTCACGTCATCACAGCGGACCCTCTGGATGCGTGAGAGACATGGGCCAAAGAGGCCTGTCCCTCAGAAGCTGCGTGAACTGCGACAGGGCCGTCCCTCGGTGAGGCTGCCTTTGCTGTGACGTCACCTGTCAGCCAGCAGCCTGTTGAACGGTCGCCACTGTGTGCTCTGTGCTGGGGTTCGGCACCCACGGACTGACTGCTTCCACCTCATCACCTACCAGTCGTGGCTGCAGCTAAGGGCCCCACGTGTGGTAAATCTCACACCGAACCCCCGCTTCCTGTGACTTCAGTTCTTAGGAGGGGCTCTTCCCCGCACCTTCCTGGAAGGTGGCACGCCCCAGACCAGGAGCGCCAGCTCTTGTTGCAAAGGCCTGCGGCCTCCCGAACATCCCAGCCAGCCAGTGTTGCTGGAAACTCCGCAGGAAGGGGAGGTGTGTGTGGTCTGAACTTGGTTCCAGGGAGACGGGGGGAGCGGGGGGCATCCTGGGTTCTGGGTCGTCTGAGGGCAGCAGACAGGTCACTGAGAGCACAGAGAACCTCAGTGTGGCTGTGCCGGGGGTGCAGTCCCCTGTGGTCAGGACCCTGTTTACTTCGGGTCTGGCAAAGGGACTCCTTTGTGGGGTCTTGCTTCTCCAGCCGACACAGGGACAGGGGAATGTTGGTGGTGGCGTTGCTGCTCAGGACACGCCGGCTTGTGCGTGACGGGCATCGTTAGGGACCAGCTTCCTCCCAAAACCCGTGGGACCGTCTGTTTGCCGGGAGGGTGGGCGTATGATGGACTATTTAGAAGAGCACTGCGTCGTCATGGAGACGTCTAGTGGGTCGTCGCAGTGACGCTTTGTACAGGCCTCGTAAGCACTGTCCTCCCCGGGGAAGAGCTGAAGCTCGGGGAGACTTGGGAAGGTGTGGGTTTTTAAGCAGCACCTTGCTGCCCTCACTCCTCCCAGGCTCTGCTGGTCACGGGGGAGAGGACAGTGGACAGGGCGAGGCACTAGCCACCACAGCCACAGGGGTCACTGTCCTCTGTGAAGAGCCCTCCAGTGCATGAAAGGGTCGTCTCGCTTTATAGAGGAGGACCAGACACCAAAGCCCACTCGTCCGCCAGGTCACAGCGCGGCGGGGCCACGCGGTCTGCGCCCCGTCTGTCCGTCTCAGGGTCCTGTCTGCTGCACGGTCTGTTTCCGTGGAGTTCTTACCCTGGGCCCATCCTAGTGTCTGCGCACAGTGTTTCCTTGAAGCGTCACGCGACCCTGCGTGTGAAGGGACATGACCCCATTTCACAGCTGACGGTCGGAGAGCTGATGTTGGCAGAGATGCAGCCCCATTGCCCGAGGCCTCAGGTCATCTCTGAGCTCTCCCGCTCTCTGTGAAATCCACCACGTTTCACAGTAGCTGCGGTGAAGTCCTGGCCATCTCTGCAGCGTGGGCTGCAGGGAAACCATGTGGTACCGACCCGAGGAGGCCTGCGGGTCAGGTTTGGGTCAGTGTGACTTCACTGGCCCTCTGTGGACATCTCGAGGCCGGAGGGCTTGCCTGCCTCCGAACGCTGCCTGTGTCTTGTGACCCTACGAGAGCTGTCTGCTCTGTGTCCGCGTCGAGGAGCCGTGTGAGACCTTAGGGCCTGATGCTTGTTCTGACCGTGGCCGTTGGACAGGGAGCTCAAGCTGCTCGCCGCGCCTGGTCATCGTGAGGAGGCGAAGCGGAGCGGCCCCTAGCAGCCCGATGCTCCTGCTTGCTCTGTCTCTGGGAGAGTCAGTTTTGGATGTTACCCCAGCAACAAGCTGATTCACCACCGGCGGCTTTTTGGGGGGAGAGCCGGTGGCTGGACTCGCTCTTTGCTGAGAAACAAAGATCTTGTTCTGTGTAAACGACGGTAATTGCAGGCTGTGCATCTAGAGCCCTGCTCGTTTTGTTCTGATCTCAGTGCAGTTGTGGACAGACAGGCAGGCGTTTGGCTCCTGGAAAGAGCGCAGCTGCTAGCTGGGGGAGGCGGGTGACCGTCCTGGGGCTGCAGTTAGCACAGCCCCCGGCGTGGTCCCCGTCCAGGCTGGGGGCTCGGGCTGAGGCAGCAGGCGTCTCTGCACAGCCGAGGGGACGTTCCGTCCAGGCTGAGGGGTGCGGGCTGGAGGAGACGAGTGAGGACCGCAGAGTCGTGTCCAGGGGTGGAGCGGCCGCCTCTGTGCGTGGGGACCAGGCGGTGTGCGGAGTCATTAAGCTCCTGCCCAGGCTCCGCTTCGCCTGCTGCCAGAGCTAAGTTTTAAAAAATATTTAATCTCGAGCAAAGAAAACGTTCATAAAACATCCCTCCCCGGCAGAGGCGGTCCGACCGAATTGCTCACACTGTCCTCAGACCCCAGGGCTCAGTTAAACACCCGCAGCAGACAGGGTCCGAGCAAGAAGCGGCCCGGCACGGCCTGTCTCGCGCCGGCTCTGCTGGTGGCGCCTGCGCCTGAACGCCCTCTGCTGTCCCTCTGGTTTCAGGGCTCCTCACAGGTCCCCGGCCGACTCCACAGCGGAGAAAGCAGACAGCGTCTCCTCGAGCACCCCTCTGTGTGTGATCACCAACCGCCCCCCGCCCAGCACTGCCAACGGCGTCACCACTGCCTCTGTGCTGTCCACGCCTGGGCCGGACTCCTCCGTGGACGCCAGGGAGAGACGGAGGTGCGTCACGGGCCGGGCTCATGGTGTTCTCCTGGGGGGAGGGGGGTGAGGGGACATCTTCCCAGTCTCGCACGTTGATGAAAGCAGGCCTTTCCGTTACAGTCTGGGTTTTGGATTTGTCAGGAGGTTTTCGGTGGAGTCTGCATTGTTTTTGACTGTTTAAGAGCGACGCCTGTTCTGTCAGGGCGACAGTGCTCCCCTTCTGTCTGTCTGTCTGAGGCCGTGGCAGGCAGTGTCCCGCTCTGAGGGAGAGCCTGACCCGGGGACCCGCTGCTCTGCTGAGTCGTCCACAGGGACTCTGGCGGCTCAGAAAGGCAGGGAGGGCGTCTGAGGCTCAGAGGTCGAGGGGCTGTGAAGCTTTGGTCATTGGAGAGGCGTCCGAGCAGGAGTGGGGACGGCAGGATGGTGACTGCTGGGGTCGGGCTCTGTGGGGTCTGCCTGGAGAGTGGTCTCACCGACACGGGGAGAGGTAAGGTAGGAGGGAGCGGGGTCGGGACTCAGGGTCCTGGGGAGATGTGACCAGGAGGACAGCCAGTCTCTCCTCCAGGGGGGCGCTCCACTTGGGAGTTTCAGACCCCCCTAAACCTAAACTGAGGCACCGGTCATTCCCGTCTTCAGACTGGAAGACGAGTGCAGTCAGAGGGAGATTTTGTCTGTGAGTGTGCGTTTGTGCAGAACAGGCCAGAGACTCGCCGACGAGACACAGCCAGGCCAGGTGTCCCGGTATTTGTCACAAAGGCGGCTCTGAAACCATCATGAGAAGAAGCGGGAGGGGTGCTAACTGAGCTGGAGAATTCTGGGGACCAGGGGGCAGTGCCTGAGAGGCAGTGCTCAGGGCGAGGCCAGGCGGAGGCAGGATGGGCATCCGGTCAGAAGGTGCGGTCAGCACCGGGTGGGAAGGAAGCGGAAGGCGCTGCCGAGGCCTGGAGCGCTGGGGATAGGCAGGGGGCGGACGGTGCAGCCGGCTCACAGCCAGCTCCACGTTGCGCCTGGAGGAGCCGTGCTGACAGCTTTATAGACACAGTTCACGTACCATACAATTTACCCCGACGTGCACAGCTCAGCGGTTTCCAGTGTGTGCACGGATCTGTGCAGCTGCCACCAGTCAGTGTGTGACCGCGCTCGTTCCAGAAAGAAACCCCAGACCTCAGCACTCACCCTCACCCCACGAAGGAGACTGAGCAGGCGTCTGGGAGAGGCAGCTCCCCTTCCAGTGAGTGATGCTGGGGGCGGGTCTAGGAACAGGAAGTTGAAGGGCTGCGCTCAGGACACCTGAGCAGGCCTTGTGTGAAATAGATTAGATGAAGGAAAAAGCATTTTTACTCCAGATCAATGTGTGAAAGTCGGTCACACAAGTTTAACGGGCGACTCAGAGCTGCCGATCCGTCCTCTTGGTGTGGAAGGGGTGCGGGGGTAGAATTTGCAGCAATTTCCAAGTTTCTGCATCTGTGGAGTCGTTCTGTTTTGTCACGGACACCAAGGCCAGGTTCCCCTGGGTGTGCACTGGAGACCGCAGCGAGCACGGCGGGAGCCTGCCTCGCAGACGGTGCCCTGCCGGGACTGAACTTCCCTCCCAGCTGCGGGGACCGGGTGTGTCAGCTCATTTGAGTTCATCCAGTCAGACATACCATTTAAGCTGTTACAGAATTAAAGCTGTTTAATTTCTCCCTCTAGACATGAAAGGGAAAAAAATCACATGTTTTGAAAACAGCTAACGTTTCCTTCTAAAAGCTGGTGGGTGCCGTCTGGGGAAGCTCGCGCTGGGGTCGCGGCGAGGCCTGGTGCACGAGTCTAGCTGGAAGCATGAATAGCCTTTGGGATAAATTGGGCTTTAGAACTGGCCTGTGGACAGGTCTCTCAGAGGTGATGACCGGAGCAGGCGGGCTGGACGGGTCTGACGGTGACCTGCACAACCGGCTGCTTCTCCAAGAACCTGTGTTCCAGCGGCCGGGGGGTGTGCACACCTGGTGGCCAGCGACCAGCCTCCCTGTGCACCCCATTCTCCCCCTGGGGCGAGCTGCAGCTGGGCCACTAGTGGGCGGAGCCAGAGCCAAAGGGGTGCCTGGGACACCACAGGGCAAGCATGGGAGTGGCCGCCCTGGGCTGTTCTGAGGGATGTGGGCAACTTGTATTTTCTTTTTTCCTCCTGCGTTCCCCAAAGCTGCAGAGTGATACAGTATGACCACTGTGATGTGGGGTGGGGGGCGCAGGAGTGCGAACAGCGCACTCCAGGGACAGCAGTCTCTCGTGACGTGAGTCTGTGAGCGACCGTCAACCCTGAGTAAACACAGTCCATCTAGATGCAAGGTTTGCAGGATTCTGGGTCAGTTATGATTTTGCTGCAGAAGCTCAGGGCAGGACTTGTACAACAGTTCTCTCTCTAAAGAAGGGCACAGTTTTGGATTTACAAAGTCCCTTTTTCACCCTGAAAAGCTCACATGGGCTCATGCATCCTCGTCACACGATGGAGAGGTAGGAGTTAGGCCTGTGGGGTGGACATGCTGAGGCCCTGGCGGAGTGATGGCCCTTGTCACACCTCTTCCTCCTCACGGAGCTCACCAACCATTTCCTCCTCGAGATTTAACCCTTTGAGTGCCAACCAATATCCTAGGAACTAGGCTAAAATTGCCAAGGCATTTTTGATGATTTTACAGCAGTTTAGGAAGAAAAATTATGAATCGCAGGTAAATGAAGTTACATATTCAAAAACTTAAGGAAACCTTTACTACATTGACATATTTAGCGATATCATCATCACTAATAAAAGCAGACTTAGAACTGGACGCCATTTCGAAGCTTTGATAGTGCTCCTGGCACTTTTGGCGAAAGACAGGAGGAGCGCAATCGTGCTCCCCGGCACTCCAGGGGTTAAGGATGAGGTTTTGGGTTGGTGGCCTTGGGCCCCAAGCACTGAAATTCCTGCCACGCACCCTGTCCCAGCACCCTGTCCCGGCACCCTGTCCCGGCCCCCTGTCCCGGCGCCCTGTACCAGCACCCTCTCCCAGCACCCTGTCTCAGCACCCTATCCCGGCGCCCTGTCCCGGTGCCCTGTCCCAGCAAGCACTCCCAGAGCAGCCATCTCAGAGAGGGGCCCTCAGAGGGCGGTCGGCTGGCAGAGCCCTGCGGGACAGGGACGCAGCCAGGTGGCAGCTGTCACAGTGGCCTGGCCTCGTTTTCCAAAGCTCCAAGTTTTCCTTAGCAGCAAAGCGTAAACAGCCCTGGGGCTAATATTAGACTCTGAGTGAGGCCTCTGACCCTCTCCCTCTGCTGCTGCTCTGCCGGCTCCCCCGCCCCCACCCCTGCCCGCCTCCCCTCACCCTCCCTGAGTCCTATCTCTTCCTTTTTATGGGTGCCCTTCCCTTTCTTCATAGAAGTGGCCCACAGTTTTTCTGCACAAGAAGGTGAATGGTTTTTCTTGTCCCAAACAGCCCCCCTGCGACTCCGCTTTGCGGGGTGGGATTCGGCCAGGCCTGGCTCGAGTCCCACAGGCCATGTGGCGGCCTTCTCGGGGCTGGGGGTCTCTGAGCTCCGTGCTCATTCCCGCTGGGGTGACGTGTCAGCAGAGTAACGGCCTCATCCTGGGAAGGTTGGAAGTGGAGGCCGTGAAACCTTGAGTCATGGTTTTTAAAAGCCATTTGATTCATCTCTGTCCCCAGGCTAAAGACAGGCAGTTGTCACTTCATAAAGGGCTCCAAAGAGAGGACCTCCAGTCTCCGTCAATTATTGTTGCAAAATGAGCCTTTTCTGCCCTGAGAGACTGCAGCACTGCCCACTCCCACGTCCTCCACTGACTGAACCGTCCTTCCTGCGCGGAGGTTGGCGGGGGGTGGGT